TATTTACTCAACATTTTTGTCAGATTAATCTGATTCCATTGTTTAACAGAAGTTAAAAGTAAGAATCTATGGTTATACTATAGAATGTATAATGTGAATGCTGTTCATTGGATATCTTAATTTTTTTCACAGCTTTAACAATACTGCTTCAAGCTGATAGTGGTTTAAGATGATATTAGTAAAGCCCTTACTCTTTAGCTTTTGGAATTAACTGAAAAAGAAGATTTTTGGTAAAGTAACTTTGACTAAAAAAAAACATGTTTTCAGTGTGACCTGTTGTACCCAAATTGTTAAATAGTTTTTAATTTGCATCCCTTAAAAGAAGCAAGTATGACACTCTGTAAAATGTCGCAAATTTTATATATTTTCTCTTTTCTTTATAGATGGCAAAGAAAAATATTCTGAACTAATCAAAAAGTCCAAAGCAATTGAAATGTTATTTACACTCTATCCTCCTGAAGGTGCACATGTGCCTAACAGTACACTACTCAAGTCAACTTGGTTGAGACCCATAGTAAATGGGGAAGAAGGTTATAAATATATAGGTAAGATATTGAGCCTTATTTTTTATTATAAATAAGTGATACCTTATAATATTATATATAACTATATTCATCACATAGATGATGTGGGATGATACATAGATCCTATAGAATGTTCTCTTTACTTCTTAGATACTATGCCCGCAATTTAAAAAGGGACTGTTTTGTGCTTTGGTACCTCCACTAGAATAGTGAAACTATATTGTGCCTGTCTACTCACTAGTTGATGGAAATTTGGGTTCTTTTCACTTTTGCATTACTACAAGTAAAGTTGCTATGAACATTCATGTTCAGGACTGTGTTTAGACATGTGCTTGCATTTCTCTTGGCCAACTTGTTTTCCAGTCATTATAACATTTCATATTACCCACCCACAGCAGAGATATAAAAGTTGCATTTATTCCACAGCTGTATCAACACTTGGTACAATCAGCCTTTCTAATTTTAGCCAATCTAATAAATGTATGTTGGTAGCTCTTTGTGGTTTAAATTTGCATTTCTCTAGTAAACAATGTTATTTGGCATCTTTTCATGTATTTATTATTTGTATATCTTTGTTGAAGTGTCTATTCAAAACTTTTGATCATTTTCATATTATTATTTATTAAGTTTTGAGAATCCTTTACATATTCTGAATACAAATAAGTTAACCTTTATATGCTTTGTGAATATTTTCTTCCAGTCTGTGGTTTGTCTTTTCTGTCTTTTAATAGTATCTCTGGAAGAGCAGAAGTTTTCACTTTTGATAAAGTACAATTTACTACTGTGTTTCTTTATTGCATGCTTTTGCTGCCATATCCAAGAAGTGTTGGCCTGGATTGTAGCAACAAGGTTTTCTTCTATAAATTTTATAGTTTTAGGTTTATATTTCAGTGTGTGGTTGATTTGGGGTTAATTTTTGTATGTGGTTCAAGATATAAATTGAAATTCTTTTTTTAATACTTTGATATCACAAACTTTCCAACAATATTTGTTGAAAAGACTATTTTTCTATAAATTAACTTTGCAATTTTGCAAAACCAAATAGTGAAAAAAGATATATAGATAGCAAATGAGCACATGAAAAGATGATCAACATCATTAGTCATCAGGGAAATGCAAATTTAAACTACAGTGAAATACTACTACTCACTTATTAGAAAGGCTAAAATAATTTTTTTAATCTAATGATACCAAACAAGGAGATGGAACACCTCAAACACTCACACATTACTGGTGGAAATGTAAAATAATACAGCCATTTTGAAAATATTTTGATACTTTCTCACAAATGAAATATATTCTAATCATAAAGTCTAGCCATTCTATTCCTAGGCAATTACCTATTCCTAGGTAATTGCCCAAAATAAAAGAAAGCATTTATTTACACAAAACACACATATTTATAATATATACAAATAGGAAATATATACAATATATTATATATGTAACTTATGTGTGTATACATACATACATATATATATGCATATATACATATATATATATATAATCAGCATTATTCAAAGTTGCCAAAAGCTGGAAACAACACAACTGTTCTTCAACTGGTGAGTGAATAAACAAAATTTGGTTCATCCATAAAAATTTGGTTCAGCAGTAAAAATGGAGGAGTGAACTATTGATACACACCACATGGATGAATTTCAGATGTATCATATTAAGTGAAAGAAGCCAGAATCCAGGGCTATGGTATGATTCCATTTAAGTGGCACTTTTGAAAAAGCAAACCTATAGTAACAAAGGTCAGGCCTGTGATTGCCAGGGTTTAAATTTGATGGTAGGGTTTTACTACAAAGAGGCAGCATGAGGGACTTTTTAGGGTGATGGAACCGTTCTGTATCTTGATTATGATAGTGATGACATGATTTTAAATAAGTCAAAACCCATAGAATCGTACACCAAAAGGAATGAAGTTTACTGTAAGTAAAATGTTTTAAAATAAACACAAAATTAAAAGAGAATCATTTATATAAATGGCCAAAAAGTTCATAAGAAGATGTGTACCATCATTAGCCATAGGGAAATGTGAATTAAACCACAGTGAGATATCACTATACATCTACAAAAATGGCTAAAGTTAAGAAGACTGGTCATATCAAGTGTCAGCAGGGATGTGCAGCAACCAGAACACTAATATCATGCTACTACAAATATAAAATGGTAAATACAGTTTGCAAAATATTTTGGCATTTATTTATCTATTTTCTTTTTCTTTTTTTTTCTTTTCTTTTTTTTTGAGAGAATCTCAGTTTTGTAGCCCAGACTGGAGTGCGGTGGCACAATCTTGGCTCACTGCACCCTCTCTCTCCCAGGTTCAAGTGATTCTTGTGTCTCAACCTCCCAAGAAGCTGGGATTACAGGTGCCCACCACCGCAACCAGCTAATTCATATATATATATATATATATATATATATTTTTTTTAGTAGTAGAGACGGGGTTTTACCATGTTGGCAAGGCTGGTCTTGAACTCCTGACCTCAAGTGATCTGCCCACTTCTGCCTCCTGAAGTGCTGGGATTACAAGCATGAGCTACTGCACCTGGTCAATTTTTTAAAAAAGTTAAACATACACCTGCCATACAACCAGGCATTACACTTCTACATATTTATCCCAAAGAAGAGAAAATATATGTCTATTCAAAAACTTGTATATGAATATTCATAAAACATTTTTATAAAACACTCAAACTAACAGAAACAACTCAAATAACTACCTACAGATGGATGGATAAGCATATTGTGATATATCTATGTAGAATACTCAGCAATATAAAAGAAGAAACCTGGATACCTTTGATACACTAACAACATGGCTGAATCTCAAAATAAGTATGCGAGTGAAAGAGGGCAGACAATAAAGAGCACATACTATATGATTCCATTTATGTAAAATACTAGAAAATGCAAACTGAGTAGAAACAAATCTGTGGCTACCTGAGAATGAAGATTGGAAGTAGAAGTGAGAGGTGATGGGTTAAAAAATTTGAGAGTGATGGAAATGTTTATCATCTTGATTGTGGTTATCATTTCATGGATGTACAAAGTAAAAAGTTATTGAATATTACACTTTATGCAGTTTATTGTATATATTTTATGCCTCAATAAATCTATAAAAAGCAAGTTAAAAACATAAATATTAAAGAACCAAGGTAGGGAAGTTTTTATTTTGGTAGTATTTTTAAAAGATGTTTTCTCTTGAAGCCTTAAAACTTGCATTTTAAAACTTATTTAAAGAGAGTCACAAATTCAGTGCAATATCATTGGACTGATGCATACAAAGGCATATTTAAGGGCTCAGTTCTGTAATAGCCTAGAGGAAGAAGAGAGAAAGAAAAGGAAAGAAAATTATGAAAAAGAGTAACTTAAGTTGAAAGTTTTGGGTTTAATAAAATGAATTAAGAACCTGACTGCTATTTATTTTCTCTGCAATTTTCCACCTGAAATTATCAGAAGGTGACCTATACCTATTTGTGTTTGCTGTTTACAGTCTATTTGCAAACACTTTGTTAAAATAAAACAAATTGAAAGGAAATATGCAAGTGGCATTGTGTTGTTATTTTCAAACTCTGTCTTCCAAGCTTTTTGCTGATTTTTTTCTTTTTCTATGGGTAAGTGACCAGAGCCTTGAATCTTTTTGAATTACATTGTTATTGAATTGACTGACAAGAGCTTTGCAACATTTGCCTTGAAAAGATTAGTCTATTACAGAAGTGCTTCCTAAAACTGAGTAACTCCTTAACTATAAACATTTTAGGGAAGATAGCTTTGGGAATTTATTATGTGTTCCAACATTAATACTCTACAATGTAGGTACTCCTGTTTATTGATTTTACTCTGTAAATTCAGAGATCTATCAACAGCAAGAACCAATGATTAAATAGAGTTACGAATGCTCCATAAATGGCATGAGTTGCTAACAAAGTACCTAGTATGAGGACCATACATTCTCTAAAAATACCTGGTACAACCATATTTTTATATCCCATATTTCCTAGAATAGTGGCTTGATCGTAACTGGAATGCTGCATAAGTCATAATTTCAACTTGCTTAATAGGCACAAAGAATTTCCTCTAGATTATAATTTTATAATCTTAGACCAAGTAAAAAACAAGTCTTTAATTTTTTTTCCAGGAATATATGGCTTGTCACACTTAGTTTTAGAAAGGCTATTTTGGAAAGTTAGTCTTTTAACATATCTTCGGTTGTCTTTTTTTTTAAGCACTGTCTGTCCTCAAGCTCTG